TATCTCTCTCACTCTCTATATATTTATATAATTACAGATTACTCTCTATACCCTCTGGTGCATGTATATATGCACACAAATATACTTATTTACACGCACTTGATCTCTGTCTCTGTCTCTTTCTCTCTTTCTCTTTCTCTACTCCGCCTCCCTCATTCTTTATTTACCAGATCTGTTTGGTTCTTTCGTTCTCTTTCTCTCTCTCTCTCTCTCTCTCTCTCTCTCTCAGAGAGAGAAAGAGAAATGTCCCGATGATGTCCCGTGTTGTCCCGTGATGTCCAGTGGCGCGCGGGTGTCCCGTGCTACGTTATGTGTTATGCATTGTCATGCTAGCGATGGTGAGATCGATATTGCGATCGATATCGATACTGAGATCCATTGAATGAGCTCAAAAGTGAAATCGATCGTGAGATCGATAGTGATATCAATAGTGAGATCGGTACCAGGATCGGTAGCGAGATCGATAGTGAGATGGGTAGTGATATCGATTGAGTGCGATCGATGGTGCAATCGATCGAGAGATCGACCGTGTGCGATAGTTGTGTCGATTGAGTGAGATCGATGGTGAGGCCGATAGGGAGATCAATAGTGATATCGATAGTGAGATCGATAGTGACGTCGATGATGACATCGATAGTGAGCCCGATCGTGAGGGCGATCGTGAGAACGATCGTGCGATCGTTCGTGCGATCGATCGTGAGATCGATGGTGAGATCGATGGAGATATGAATAGTGTGATCGACAAGGAAAACGATAGTGGGATCGATAGTGGTATCGAGAGTGAAGTCGGTAGTGAGATCGATAGTAAGATCGATTGAATTCAGATGTTCGGGGTCCCCTTTAAGGGCCTTTTTGAGGATTCATGGAAAATAGCCCAAAATTATCTTTTCAAATACGATTTCATTTGTCCCCACGACACTCATTGTCTTTTGGATTTCGGCGAGATTTGCCCCCCCCGCCAAACATTGTCAAACGACATATGAACCAATTTCTCCCGCGGGGCAACATGGCCCCGCCTGGGATGCCTGGGCGGGGTGGAACACTAGCGGGAAGCCGCGTCACATTGCGAGGGCGCGCGCGTGCACGCAGGGTCCCGCGGCCAGCAGTGACCCCGAGGGCCGCGAGATATAACCTGAGGGCGGCTCTCGCCGACCGCTGCAGCTCGAGCAGCCCGCGGGCCAGGGGCCGAGGCGTTGCCTGGCCACCAGCGCTGCCCTGGCCCAAGCGCGCAGGCCGACGGCGGGCCGAATCGCGCAACGCGTGCGCCCGCCAAAGGCGCCACCGCCCCAGCCGTGCGAAACGCCCCCGAAAGACAGGCGCAACGCGAGACAACCTGCGCTACAATCTCATAATCCATCGCATTCAATCGGATTGAATGCGATGGATTGTGAGATCGATAATGACATCGAGACTGAGATCGACCGGGAACCCAAGAACCCTGGACCCAAAAATTGGAACCCGGGGAACCCCGCCGCCCACCGAACCCCGCCGCCCACGAAATCGGCCCAGAACCAGCAACCGGGAACCTGGGAAGCTGGAACCGGGAACCTGGGAACCCGGCCCCCTACCGAAATCGGCCCAGAACTTCCGCCAAATCGTTCAATATCCGCTCGGACCCCTTCGGTGCAAGCACTGATTGGAGAACAAGGTGCGAGCCCTGGGAGGCGCGCTTCAGTTTAAACATACAAAGTGCACCGCAGGGAGGGGATCAACATCAATTGTTCTGGAGACATGAAAATTCATGAGCATTCGAAGCCACGATCCCTCATGCAAAACCGTGGATCTACGCCTTCCTGACACGCGACCCCGTACAAAAAACTATGGATATGCTCTCCCGAAACCGCGGCACCTCGGACAACAACTGTACGCAGTTCCCCGTTCCCGAGGACGAGATCCCTCGCAAAGTCCACAGTGATCCGCGCTCCCGAGGCCACGACCCCTTACCACAGACAACTGGCTCCCGATGCGCGAATCGTACTGTGGGCCCGCGCCCATGAGGCCGCGGGCCCTGGCACGCGCTCCCCGAGGCCACAGATCGAATGGATCCGCGCTCCCGAGGCCGCGATCCCTCGTCAAAAAACGATGGATCCGCCCTCCCGACGCCACGATCTGTGTTCAGAGAACCGTGGGTCAGCGCTTCCGAGGCCACGGCCCCACGTAAAAGACTATGGGCCCGCGCTCCTGAGGCCGCGTTCCGTTGTTTATTATTATAGATTAAAAAGCAACCAACAAAAAAAACAAAAAAAACACGCGCTCCCTCGTAGCAAACCGCGTATCCGCGCTCTCGAGGCCACGATCCCTCGTGCAAAAACTGTGGGCTTGCGCTCCCGAGGCCGCGACCCCCAGCAAAATAGATTGGGCACGCGCTCCCGAGGCTACGGCCCCTCGCAACAGAGGGTGCATCCGCGCACCCGAGGCCACTATCCAACGTCAAAAACAGAATCTGCGCTCCCCAGGCTGCAATCCGGAATCAAGAACTGTGGACCTGCGTTCCCGAGGCCACGTTGACCACGGCGGCAACTAACGAACTGTGGTGGGTCCGCACTCCACGAGTCATGAACCCTTGCAAGGGGTGCCCGCTCTCCCGAGGCCACGATCTCTCGCACAGAAAACAGGATGGGATCCGCGCTCCCTGGCCCCTGAACCTTCGTCAGACAATAGATCCGCGCTCCCGAAGATACGATCCCCTTGAAAAGATGTGGATCAGCGCTCGCGAGGCCACGATCCCTGTGAAAACAGTGGATCCGCGCTCCAGGGGGGGCGCATCCCTGGCAAACCATACTGGCCCGCGCTACAGGGCCCGCTCTGCGATCTCGCCCAGAGACCCAGCCAGCCTTCCAGAGAGCCAGCGAACCAGCATGTCAGGCAACCGACTGGCTGACCTGCCAACCGTCCATCCAGACAGCCAGCCAACCAAGTTACGAGCCTCCCCATCCTAATTTGACCGCCATCGACCCAGCAGCGCATTGTATCGGAAGGGGGGCTGGCGGCAGAGGCCGAATCCTCTCTAAGGGGAGTTTCTCCCATCGCAGCAGTATGGAGAAACCAGACACCGATACTCGACCTGGACGATGCCAACCCTGTGCGGTTCTGCACCTCGGCGGCCTACAGCCTATCTTTAACTCGAGCGCCAGCGCGAAACAAGTGCATCACAGAGGCTCATGCCGACAGCGGCGCGTATACATGTATCCGTTCATTTATACGGCAATGGCACCGACCTGTTCACAACAAAATCATGCTGGTACCGCAAAGCCCGACGAGATACACAATGCTCACTCATCTGGGGTTCTTCTCCTTTCAGGGAGCACGATCCCTGGCGCCTCCTGCGCCTAGCCCGACTGTGGGCTGGCAGGGGACCACCTTGGTGGCTGCAATCGTCGTAATGTCACTTCCTGCACATATCAAAGGCCAGCCCTCCCATTAGGACTTTGCCTGGCAGCCCCGTCGCAGCGCCTGGGTCAGCAGCCTGTTGACCTGGATCCATATATTCCCCAACCAATGCTTGCACTTATGGGCTCGTACTTCTCTTCTGAGGAACTGGGCCCGGTGCGGCCCCGGCGGCCCCGTTTCCGTCCGTCGCCGCATCACTGAACCTAATCCGCCGACTCCCGCTCGCCAGGGGTGAAAAGGCGTGCGAGACATCTGGCTGTTTCCCTCCCCCCTTGCCCCCTTCCCTTGGGTGCAAAATGCCGTTTGAGGGGGTGGGCGCGAGCTCGTCAACGCACCCCTGGGGCCTCCAGAGCCTCCGAAGCCCCAGGAGGGCCTCGACAGAGCGCCAACCCGCAAGGCCCCCAAGACGGCCCAAAAGTGTTCCGAGAGGACCGCCGAGAATGCCCCAGGAGGCAAATATTGCCCCATTCACTTGGGAACACGTATTTATTTAGTATACTCGTATTTTTCATTTTGACAGCTTCGAAGACTGCCCAAGGGACCCCTAAGTTCGTCACAAGACGGCCGATGAGGGCCCCAAGACGGGCCAGGAGGGCCCTCAGACGGCCCCAGGGGGCCCCAAGATGGCCCAAGAGAGCCCCAAGAGGGCCCCAAGAGGTCCCCAAGAGAGCACAAGAGGGGGAGCACGAACTGATATTCCTAGCCGTTACCCCCAAGATGACCCCAAGAGCCCCTCAGAGGCACGGTCTCCAAGAGGCCCCAAAAAGCGTCCCAAGGGGCCCAAAGGGACCCAACAGTCCTCCAAGAGGCCCCTGAGAGGTATCCCTGCGTGCGTCCCCGCAGCTGCGTTTCCGCCCGTCGCCGCCGCACCGTTGCACCCCCCCGTTGCATTGCAATCGCAATCGATTGCATTCGCGTTGCACTCGCATTGAAATCGCATTGCAATCGCATTGCACTCGCATTGCTTTGCAGTGATGTACATTGCGTTACATTGTTTTGCATTGCTTGGCACTGCTTGGCATTGCTTGGCATTGCGTTGTATTGCTTTGCATTGTTTGGCAGTGCTTTGCATTGCGTTGCATTGCTTTGCATTGCGTTGCCTTGCTTTGCAGTGCGATGCCTTGGTTTGCATTGCATTGCGTTGAATTGAATTGCGTTACATTGCTTTGCATTGCTGTGGATTGAGTTGCATTGAGTTGTATTGCTTTCATTGCATGGCGCCACAGATAAAATTCACCACGTGGATTGCACCACCTAGATTGCACCACAATGATTGCACCACGTAGATTGCACCGCATATCTTGCAAGAGAACGATGTTACCCATAATCACATATGTCGATATACCTAAATATACACACGCACCCCCCCCCCACCACACACACACAACAAACGCACACACACACACACAGACACACAAACACAAACACACACACACACACTCACTAGAGCTCGCCCCCGCCCTCTCTCTCGCTCACTCGCGCATCTTCACCCCCGTCCTCCTCCTCCTCCTCCTCCTCCTCCTCCTCCTCCTCCTCCTCCTCCTCCTCCTCCCCCTCTCGCGCCTCCCTCCGCCGCCGGCCGCGCCCCGCAGAGAGAGGCGGCGGGGCTCTTCACGACCGGCTTGTACGGCGGCTCCAGCGAGCAGTTCTCCATCGCCTCGCGCGCGAGCCGCCCGCGCGGGCCAGCCGAGGGATGTAGCTTGGGGGCGCGCCAAAGGGGGGTAGGGGGAGGGGGGAAGGCTTCTCAGAAGCACCCTGCTTCTTAGAAGGCCTCGGCCTTACGTCTATAGAGGAGGCCCGCGCCTTCTAAGAAGCAGGGGTGCTTCTGAGAAGCCTTCCCCGCGCCCCCTACCCCCCTCTGCGTGCTGCCGAGGAGCCCATCCGGGCGCGGGGGCCTCCCTCGGCGTCCCCGGACGCCCGCCAGCCGCGCGCACGCGCGGGGGGCCACCGTCGGCGGCGCCGAGCGCGGGAGGACGCCAACCACCGTGACTGACGAACGAACGACACACACACACACACACCCATACCCATAGGGAGGTCGTTGGGAGGAGGACTGGCTGTGGGTATGGGTGCGGGTTGTCGGACCCTGGGGAACGCTCCCGTTCGAGCGGGGACCCCCCATCCGACAACACGCACCCATAGCCCTCTCCGATCCCCCTATGGGTGTGGGTGTGTGCTGTTGGCTCGTCATTGACAGCCGACGACGTGATTCATCCGATGCCAGCGTACTTCTTCGGCTTCGGCCTCGAGAGGCTCGGGCCTGGGACCGTCGAAGCGGAATCCGGCAGGGCAAGCGCACACCCCCAGCGAAGCACTCGAGAGCTCTGGGGCCGCAGATTGCAAACCAAATTACATCGTCGGGAATCTATATATATATATATATATATATATATCATATATACGTATACATATCTATATATATATATAACATACACACCGATCTGGGCAGACCCATCCTGGGCGCCGCAGAAGTTCCCGGGAGGCTCCCAGGAATCCCCAGACGGCCCCAAAGAAGCACCCAAGAACGTCCCTCCCAGACGCTGCGAGATACCCCTGACGATCTTCGACGCCATCCTAAGAGGCCCCAGGAAGCCCGAAAACGGCCCGTAAGAGGCTTCACAGCCGCCCTCGGTCAAAACAGCCTCCAGACTCCAGACGGCCCAGGACGCCTCCAGGAAACGCCCGGAGGGCCCCTGGAGCGTTCCGACACGGCCCGAAACAGCCTTTAGACGGCCAAGACAGGGGTCTTTCCGACTCCTCCGCCTCGAATCGAATCGATTTCTGCGGGTGCCGATTCGAACCGACTCGATCCGGAGATTCCCACTCGTGATTCCGATTTCGAATTCGCCTAATCCGACTCCAGCAGATTCGATGTGCTTGCCGACTTCTGTCGATTTCCGGTCGATTTGGCTTCGCTCACTTTCGTGGATGGTTCCAACAAGAGGAGGAGGAGGAGGAGGAGGAGGAGGAGGAGGAGGAGGAGGAGGAGGAGGAGGAGGAGGAGAGGGAGGAGGAGGAGAGGAGGAGGAGGAGGAGGAGGAGGAGGAGGAGGAGGAGGAGAGGAGGAGGAGGAGGAGGAGAGGGGGAGGAGGGGGAGGAGGAGGAGGAGGAGGAGGAGGAGAGGCGGAGGCGGAAGCGGAGGCGGAGGTGGAGGCGGAGGTGGAGAGGCGGAGGGGCGGAGGAGGAGGAGGAGGAGGAGGAGGAGGGGGAAGCCGCGGGCACAGAAAGCTGCGGCCAGGCGCGCAAGCCCAGAGGGCAAGCCGCGATCGAATACATCCCATTATACTCATTATTATCACTGTTACATATTGACAGTCGTTGTGTCTCGCATTTGCGTTACGGCACTTGCTGGGACCTCGGGCCAAGCGTATATCACTCGCGCCACGTATCTCGACATCGCCCACAGCATCGTCTCAGCACCATTCGAACGCCAGCGCAGTTGACACACGTCTTCGACAACGGCTACTCTGTGCACACACCGACGACCACGACTCCGACTTCATCCCCGAACCCTGCCAGGCATCGAAGGGAACGGGAAAAGAGAGCAACAGTTCGAACGTTACCAAGAATAGCCTGAGCCAGAACGTTACTAGACCAATCGGCACACGACCAGACACACGCGGCACAACACCTACGAAACCGGCAGCTGCGATGGCGACGGCCAGCGGCGGCCCGCCTCCCAGTCGAAGTTCTCGAACCAACTGCGCGGGCGGCGGTCGCGAGCGTCCCGCGGCCCTTCCTGCTCCTGGCCCCTCCCCGCCCTGCCGCCGCCGCCGATCTCCGCTCTTTTTCCCCCCGCCCCACTGCCACTGCTCCTGCTCCCTGTCCCGAAGCCTCCTTCCTTCGTCATCGTCACGCCTTCCTCCTCCACCTCACCCTCACAATCCTTGTCGTAGTCCTCCGGCGGCGCGCGCGGGTCTCTGCCGCGGCCGAAGCTCTGTGGTCGGGAGCCAGCGCAACCCCCCAACCCCGGGACCAGCACACCGCTCGGCGGTGGCTGGCTCCGGAAACAAGGGGGCCTGGCCGGTGCCTCTAGCCTCCGGTGCACGGGAGCACGGCGGGCACCGGCAGGACCCAACAGCCAAGCGCTGTGGACCCCCGGAGTCTTCATTCCTGAGGAGTCGTTCAGAGACTCAGACCCCACCCACATCGCGAAATCTTCTCCTGGGGCTTCTCGCGGTTTCTCGCGCGACTATTTCGGAGCAGCGGGGGCCCCCAAACGGGCCAGCAGGGCCCGAAGAGACCCACGACGGCCCCAGAACGCCCCGAGACGCCCACAATCGCCCCAAGACGCCCTACATGGCCTCATGATGGCCCAAAAGGCCTCCAAGATGCCCCAAGAGGCCTCGAAGATGCCTCCCAAGAGGACCCTGAGAGGCCAAAACCATTGACTTGCCTTCGTTGATTGAAAAATGTGGGCGTCCTCGCCTGTTTCCTTTCCGACGCTCCCAGACGGCCCGAGGTCCAAAATACCACAATACCACCCCAGGACTGCCCAAGAGGCCTCCAAGAGGGCTCCAAGAGTCCCAAGAGGCACCCAAGAGGCCTGAAGAGGCTCCAAGAGGCCCCCAAGGGACCCAACAGCGACCCCAAGAGGCTCCAAAACTGCCCCGAAGAGGCCTCAAAACTGCATCCAAGTGGCCGCAAAACTGCCCCCAAGAGGCCTCAAAAAAGGTCCACCACGAAATCCCAACGAACATACAATAGGCTTCATACCTACAATTTAGGTACAGTGGCAGGAAGGCCATTCGATAGAGAGGAGTTCGAGGTGCAACAGAGAATCATGAGTCCAGGGGGCGAGGCTCAGGCCTGGATGTCTCAGCTGAACCCTTTTCCTGTCGTACTCGGAAAGGCACCCCGACAACAAACGAATCATACGTCGCTCAATTGGGGTCGGCGGCAGAGGCGGCGGCCTTTAGATGACATGATCTGCGGGTCCCAAAAGGAAGGGGCTCTCGCCTGAGGCATCCTCGAAATTCACTCACCGACGAGGTTCCCGCTTCATACTTCCTCCACATTCAAACCTGAGGACGCAAAAAAACACGACAATTCCAGGGTTCCGATGACCAGCCTGGGATTAGAAACATGAATTGCGGGCCCCATAGGAAGGGTGCTCGCGCCTGGCACTTCCTCGCCAGTCACTCACAGACGAGGCCCTCGCCTGATTTCCTCCCTACTCAGGCCTCAAGAACCAAAAAGTGACAACAGCTGCAGGATTCCTATGACCCGCCTCGGATTATATACAAGTGGCACGTGTGTGCCCAGGCTCATACAACAAGCTGAAGGGGCGTTTGAAGCAGGAGTGACATGCAACAGCGAAGTCGCACTCGAGCGCAAGTGGGGTTGCCACACCTTGCGATGTGTGTACCAGGGCCCCCCAGGAAGCCTCAGGAGGCCCGACTTGGATACCAGAAGAGGCTCCAGGAGGCCCCAGGATTGTGAGTGTGTGTGTGTGTGTGTGATGTGTGCTTTGTGTGGTGCGTGCTTTTTGTGTGTTGTCGGTGTGTGTGTGTGTATGTTATGTTTGTCTAGCGTGTGATGTGTTGGGCGTGATTTGTGTCTCTGTGTGTGCATGTAGTTCTGAAGCCCCAGGAGGCCCCAGGAGGCCCCAGGCGGCCTCAGCAGGCCCAGGAGAACTCCAGGAGGCTCCGAGGCGGGGTCTGGGGTACCAGAAGGTCCAGAAAGCCCCAGGAGGCCCCAGGAGGTTCCAGGAGGCCCCCAGGAGGCTCCGAGGAGGGGTCTGGGGCTCGATTTGGGAGGATGTCTCAAGCGAAACCGCCATTCTCTGAGAATCGGGGTCAAAGTTATTGAAATTACCATGTGTGTTTGAAGGTTTTATGTTAACATGTTGAAATTCCAATGTGTTTTTGTACCCTGACGTCACGATCTGCGTGAGGGGTGCCACCGATTTCAGAATTTCGATGATGTCCCGAGCGAAACGGCCAGAAAAATCGCGGACGACGTGCGCACTAATCGCCTCTGAGCTCTACTCCCTCGGAGAGGCGCGTATGAGAATAATTATCTATCTATATATATATATATATAATAGTAATGATAATAGCACTGAAAAATACGCTGCGGGCCCCATAAGGAAGAGCTCCCGCCTGGAACTCCCTCGCAATTCAAGCACAAACGTGGCTCCCGCCAGAGAATTCCTTTATATTCAGGCCTCGGAGGCCCCAAAAAGACAACAGTTGTAGGATTCCGATGACCCGCCGCGGATTAAAAACATGAGCTGCCGGCCCCATAAAGAAGAGCTCCATTGATTCTACTGCGTTGTTGACCCAGTTTGGGCCCCATGTTGGCCTCTTTGGGGGGGCGGCGCTAAAAAAGCTCCCCTCTTCTTTGATCGATGTCCTCCAATATGGCCCCAACAAGCGCCTAGGAGAGGAGGCCCTAAGAGGCCCCAAGATGGCCTCAAAATGGTCCCAAGGGGCGCCCAAGAGGCCCCCAGGAGGCCCCCAGGACCCCAGGACCCCAAGCGGCCCCACGAGGCCCCCCCCGAGGCACCCAAGACTCTCAAGAGCCCCTAGGACCGCCAAGACACCCCCCAAGAAGCGCCCAAGAGATATCCCAAGATGCTCCGGGAGGCATCCAAGAGACCTCTGTCCCTTTTGCTTACCCTCCCCCTCCTGCTCAAACTTCCTCCTCCTACACAAACTTCTTTTCTTCCTCCTCCTCATCATCATATTCGTCCTCCTTCTCCCCACACCCTCGCCCATCCACCCAGCCTCCTCCTTTTCCCCCACCCTCCATCGCACGGTTCGGATGGGCTGGCGGGGGTACGTTTTTTTGATTTGCGGCCCGCAAGGAAAAGTCCAGAAGGCGGGTCAATCGGGCTGACTGGGGCACAGAACCAGATACTCTGCGAACCCACCCGTCACTGTCGACAGCCGACCGCACATGCAAGCACGCCGAGCAAATTCGAGGAAACGCACCTAGCACGGCAGCCGACGACGGACAGCGGGGCGACGCACCGTGGCGGCAACACCCGACAGACGGGACGGCGAAGGGCAGGGCGACAAGGGGGGAAAAGGGGGGAGAGCGGGACAGGGGGCAAAGGGAGCCTCACTCACAGAGCACCTCATGTGTTCGAAGACAGGTCGTCTCTGAACCAGGCGTCAGTGATCTTGTCGTGAGTCCCGAATGGCAACATCCTTGCGTCCGTGGACGGGGGGGACGACGCGTGGGACCACGGCAGCAGTAGCCACCGGCGTTCAGAGGCCCCGCCTGGGGGAGACTGCGGGCAGGCGTGCACCACCTGAACACCGCAAAAGGGCAGGGCGTCGTAGGCGTCCGCGAGCGACAAATCCAACCAGAGGAAGGGGCCGATGTCGCTGGCATAGCCGGAGCCGGAGAACGCCTGCCAAGAGGAAGCAAGGCCCTGTCAAAGGATGCACCACTTGTACAGGAAGCCAGCCTCCACGGCCACCTGCCAGTGCCCCATCGGGCGCACCCTGCCGCGTGGAAGGAGTGACCACCTCGGAGCGTGCGCGGAGACGTGGCACTGATGGGGGGAACCGACAGGCGCGCTCAGCACCTCAGCGTACGTGGAGGAGGGGGGGGAGGCGCAGCCGATAGCCGCAAATCCGGTGAATATTGGAGGATGGAGAGGCGCAGGTGTGCCAGGCGACACAGACTGCCGAGGACCCAACAGAGCGTAGCCAGGGGCGTGTCTGGGGGGGAAAGTCGTCGGCGTCGAGCAGCGGGACGGACCCGTCGTGGAAGGGCTGAGCCTGCCAAAGGATGAACCACTCGTGCAGGAATGTGCCATATCTGGCCCCACCCGCAGGCGGTGGTGGAAGCGGGTAGGCGCGCGTGCGCGCGCCACGCCGCGGCCACGGGCGAGCGCACTCCGTCACAGGAGCTGGGGGACAACCTTCACAGCAGTGGGCCGGGCCCGCCGCGGGAAGGAGGAGCCTGCCAAAAAAGTGCCACTTGTGCAAGACTGCCGCGTCATCAGTGGCTGTACTCCCGTATGGGCCAGAGTAAGGGCCGGCGAAAGGCTGCGTTGTCCTGCGTCTGGAAGGCTGTCCCGTGGTCTCCCTGCTGCGAGAGGGGCACAGTCAGAGGACGGCAGACGGACGGATGGTCCAGAAGGGGTGCTCCGCGGCTTCCGCAGCCCCCGTCGTTCCCGCCGGCTTCCCGCACCTTTCCTCTGGCCTGTTGTCACAATTGGAGGGGGGAGACGTTACTGTGACTGGTCGGAAAGGGGTCGTCTGTCGTTGCCGCCAAGGTCGACATCCCGAGCCTCCGCCGCCTCCGCCGCGACTCCCCCTCCAATCCACAGCCTTGCTGGGACAGAGGACAGCTGACGGGCAGTATGACCAGAGGGGGTGCTCCGCGGTTTCCGCAGCCTCCGCCGTCTCCGCCGTGACTTCCCGTTCCTTTCCTCTGGCCTGCTGGCACAGCTGAGGGGGGGGAACGTACGTGTGAGCTGTACACAGGTCACTGCAGGCTACCTCCTCTCGATTCCCCACTGGGACGCCATCGTCTGACCACGATGTGGGGGGTGGAATCGTGGCCTCTGCCTCAACCGCACCTCGATTTCCCTCTGGGACGTTGTCTTCTGTCGACGAAACGGGTGGAGGTAAGCTGCCGCTGCTGCTGCTGCAGCAGCGGCCGCGGCAGCTGTGGTGCTGCAGCGGGTCGGCGTCGTCGTTGTCGGCGTCAACGTCATGGCGTCGGCGACGTCGGCTTCGGAGTCGGCGTCGGCGTCGTCGTCGGAAGCGTTCGTTTTCACGTGTCCTTAAGCGTCCGTTTTCCTCCCGGTCTCCACTTAGATATTTCAGTGTCCGTGATGCTCAGGGAGTGGGGCTGGCAGCGGGGCTGGTCGTGACGCCGCCGGCCGCCGCCGCCGCCGCAGCCGGCGGGGGGCCGGCAGCGGCGGCGGCAGCGGCAGGAGCGGCGCGAACCTGTCCAGGGCCGACACAGACTGCCGAGGACCCAACAGAGCGTTGCCCGGGGCGTGTCCGGGGGGAAGGTCGTCGGATGTACTCCGTCGCAGGAGCTGGGGGAACAACCTCCACAGCAGTGGGCCGGGCCCGCCGTGGGAAGGAGGAGCCTGCCAAAGGATGTACCACTTGTGCAGGACAGCAGCGTCACCAGTGGTTGTTACCCCTTATGGGCCTGAGTGAGGACCGGCGAAAGGCTGCGTTGTCCTGTGTCTGGGTGGCTGTCCCGTGTCTCCCAGCTGTGAGTGTGGCTCACCTTGCCACGTGAGCCGGGCGCCACCGACCCAGGTGCAGCTGCCACTGCCGGGTCCAGTCGGCGTGTTTCCTCCGCCGTACACGGGAAGTGCGTATCTCCCGCTCCGGGGGGGCCAGTTGACTCGTCACCCTCACAGCGTGGTTCCTCCGATGGAGAAGCACGGTACGTCCGACAACAGCCCGTCAGAACCAAGAGGGGGGAAGTATGAGACACCCAATCGCGCTGCAGAGTACGGTGTACAACTCGTAGTCAACAGAGAAGGTGGGTCTCAGAGAAGAAATCCAAACTGTCCACGGTATAGCCACACGCGCAGCACGCAGACAGAGGAGAAATGAACTGAGGTCGACGCTATAGCCACACACGCAGCACGTAGCGTTTAGAATTTACAGGAGCTTCACGGATTGAGGGCGGATTGATTTCAAAATGTGGATCTCGTCTTAGAGCCGCACACCTTCGCGTTCAAAATCTGCAAGAGCTTCATGGATTGAGGGCGGGTCGTTTTCAAAATGTGGCTCTCGCCTAAGCGCCGCGCACATTCGTATTAAACGTTGCTAGAGCTTCACATGTTGAGGGAGGTTCGTTTTCAAAATGTGGCACTCGCCGTAGCGTCGCGCCTTCAAAAATCTGCAAGGAGTTCCACGGAAGGAGGGCAGGTCGGGTTCACAATGTGGCTGTCGCCTCAGCGCCGCGCACATTCGTTCTGTAAGCCAGCACGAGCTTCACGGCTTGAGGGCGGATCCTTTTCAAAATGAGGTTTTCGCCTTCGAGGCGCACAAATTCGCTTTAAAGATTTGCCAAAGTTTCACGGGTCATCAGGGCTAACGTATCAGAATCTGGATGGATTCAGGATTGTCAGGGCGCAACTGTTACGTTGATTCGCGATGTTGAAGTCCCAGGAAGGGTGATCTGGCACGATTCAGGATCGCCAAGACGTAACAATCAGGTTAACTCGTGGCGTTGAAGTCCTGAGACTGGTGTTTTCGCACGCTCCAAGATTTTCGCACGGTTGTCCCCCAGAGGGGAGATCCCCTCAGTGGTAATGATTCCTTGCAGGGGCCTATGAGGAAAGGAGCTTGGAGGGAGGGTGTATCCCAACATCGGTGATGAGTCTTGGACTTACTCTGGTCCCCCTTCTCCTCTAGAGGCCTCTTAGATGGGGTCAGAGTAGATGGGGTCGGAGGATCGCGCCGCATCGCCGATACATCGGCGATGCATCGGCGATGTATTGGCGATGCACCGGCGATGCATCGTCGACGTGGGCGATCCATCGGCGACGTCGGCGTGAAGCACAACGGGCTCCACATCGAGCCGCATCGCCGATGCATCGGCGATGCGGAATGATCCTTCGACCCATCTACTCCGACCCCATCTAATTAGGAGGCCTAGATCCTCCTTCTCGCCCTCCTCCTCCTCCTCCTCCTCCTCCTCCTCCTCCTGCTCCTCCTCCTTCTCCTCCTCCTTCTCCTCCTCCTCCTCCTCCTCCTCCTCCTCCTCCTCCTCCTTCTCCCCCCCCTCCTCCTCCTCCTCCTCGCGCGCCTGCCCTTCCTGCTCCCGGTCCCCGCGTCCTGCGACCCGCCCGGCGCGTGGGCGAGGCACGGGCTCCTCGGGGGTCGACGCCTCCACCCCCGAGCCCCATTCCCCTCCCTCGCCTCGCCCGACGTGCGGGAGCGGCCAAGAGGGCGAGGCCTCGGATGGCGAGGCCTCGGAGGCGAGGCCTCGCAGGCGAGGCCCTCAGAGGCGGAGGCGAAGGCGGAGGCGAGGCCCAAGGGCCAGGGCGGCGGAGGGTCGTGGCAGCTCCAGCGGCGCGCCCGCGGGGGGAGCGAGGAGGGGCCGGGCCTTCTCGGGAGCGGCCACGAGGGGGGTGTCCAAGAGGGGGGGGTGCAAATCATGACCGGCGGCACGTGCGCGGCCCCGCGGGGGGGCCAGGGACGTAACGAAAGAAGAATCGGCGCCATGAAGTCTGGGGAAATGTGATGGCCCCCGCCATGACATCCGCCCCCCCTAGTCATCACCCCCCTCTTTTCCGCCCCCGACGACGTGCGGGGGAGGGAGAGATGGAGGATTCCTCCGGGGAGCGTCGCCCGAGCGAGGGGCTCGCACCACCGCGGCCACCGCAGGCCACGATCCGGGGCGGCGGCGGCGGCGCGGGCCTGTGATTCTTCACGTTCTTGATGCCGCCGGCGAGCATGGGCAGCCGCTCGCTGGGGTCGTTCTTCAGGAGAGCCTGCTCGGGCCAGCGCCGAACAGGGGAAGGCGGCCAGGAGAAGTCGGACGACCGAGCGGGCCACGGGGGGATTGCCCAAGGATTACGCCAAGCCGATTTTATCGGGGCAGCACTGCTTTTAGGTCAGCTTCACTTGAGTGGCCGCCTCTCCGTGCTACAATCGATGGCTCACACGCCCGTCTGTTCGCGGGGGGCTCCCATCGCTCACACTTGCACTCCTCCGCCGAGTCCCTTGCGTGCCCTCTCTCCTGGGCGGCCCGACAACCGCAGCGTGTGGGGCAGAAGGCGAGAGGCGGAAGACGGAGAACGCGGTCGCTGATTAACTGCCGCTGCCGCTTTTGCTGCTGCCTCCTCCTGATCACCCTCCTCCTCCGCCTCTTCTCCTCCTCCTCCTCCTCCTCCTCCTCCTCCTCCTTCTCCTCCTCCTCCTCATAGGAGGAATACACATGCAAGACCACGCACCGCACCACTGTTGCTTGCCAGTCGGTGCTGACTGCATTTCGTCGCTGCCCTCGCAGCCCGAGGCGCCGACGTCGGAGGTCTCGCTGCCGTCGCCCCGCTGGCAAGTTGGCCCTCTAGCATGGCACTGGGGTCGGGTGCTGGTGCTGGATATGATCCTACTGCCGGGGCGTTGACCTAAGGAACCCTCAATAAGGAACGAGGCCCCTTCTTCCCATACGTTAAACTTCGATTTTCCATGGAATACCCAAGGCAAACTGTAAAACAATCAAGGAACACCGAGCCCCTCGCCAACGAGAAGGGTTCCTTCTTCAGCGCCCCGACTGTAGTGCTGCTGCTTGTGCTGGCGTTGGAGATAGAGCTGGTGCTGGTGCTGGCGGCAATGGTAGTGCAGATTGTGGGGTCGCTGCGTCCCTTAATGATCCTCCTCCCGCTCGTTCTCATCCCCCTCCACTCCTGCCTACCCTCATCTTTCTCCTCCTCCTCCTCCTCTGCCTCAGTTTCCTCTTCATCCTCCTCCTCCTCCTCCTGCCTTTGGCTCCTGGCTCCTAGAGCCACGACACGCAGCACACCAAAGGAAAAACCTGCACTGCACCACGCTGGGACGATTACATCCTGGCATTCTTCCACAACCAGCTACTCGACTTAGGATCACACGCTGCCCCCCGCAAAAGGCCCTCACCAGCACAACGAGCCCCACGACACTGGCTGGCTTACCGCTGACCTCCTTCGCACTCCTCGCGCCGGAGCTCGTGAAGGCCATTGCAACAAAACCACGGGCGACGTCAACGACGTCAGCTGGCTCGACGCACGCGTGGCCACGGCCTGCGTTTGTGCTCATATGTTTTTGAAGGGGAACTGGGACACACAAATGAATAGACACAAATAACCAGACTCCCCATGTTTTCCCATATGTTCTGGGTTTCTGTCTTCCCCCCACTTCCCATATTCCCCATGTTTCTGTGGAGTCGACGATTAATTGTGTCTGTGTGTGTCTTTCCCCTCCTGAGCTTCGAAGGGCTGCTGCGCGCCGTGTCACCCCCCGGCAGGCGCGGTCCTCTGCCTGCTGCAGGGTCGGACGGGCGCTCGCTCGATCCTTCCCCCGTCCGTCCATTGGCTTCCTCCCTTTCAGCACATCCGACGGGATGCACGGAAGTGAAGGGGAACTGGGACACACAAATAGAAAGATCCACATAACTTCTCATATTTTCTGGATTTCTGTCTTCCCCCCCCCATTTCCAATAGTCGAAGATTGATTGTGTTTGTGTGTTGTTTCCCCTCCAGACCATTGGCTTCCTCCCTTTTAGTGCATCCGACGGGATGTACGGAAGGTGCTTCATCCCCCAGGCAACCAGGCCAGCAGGAGAAGAGCGAGTGGCGGTGGAGGAGAGGATCGGCGAGGAAGCAGGAGGCATGGAGCATAGTGTGAGGGAGAATATGTAGAGAATAGAAAGCGAGAATGAAGTGGAGAGGAACGATTGGCAATGCGGCGGCGGCACCATAGGAGCAAAGAAGGACAATTGGGACCAGCCCATGGAAGGCCTTAATGAGTTCCGCCACGGATCCCTGGCACTTCTGCGGCATGGGAACCTTGTTGATACCCTTAATAACCTCGCAAGGAGGAGCGAAAGGGAGGGAGAGAATAATAGAGCGAGAAAGAGAGAGAGAGAGAGGAAGAAGAGCTGCAGGGTGGAGAGGGGAAAGGTGGGGATGACGCGGAGAGGGGGCGAGCAGGACGGAGAAGAACAGCCTCGAGGCGCGCGGGCCAGCTGCCGCCGCTGTGCCACGGCTGCTGCGGCAGTCTTCGGGAGGGGGACCCATCCGCCTTTTCGCGATCCGCCTTCAGACCTCAGGATTTTGCTCCTCGCGACAGGCCATCTCATATCGAATAACTGCCAGACGAAGACATCGTCCAATTGGCCTTTCTCGTCGCGACAGCGTCCAATACGGCCCAGGGGGCCCCGAAGATCGTCGCAAAACGGCTCATGAGGTGAGGCCTCCACGAGGGCTCGAAGACGATCCTGGTGGCCCCTGCGACGGCCCACAAATGCCCCCAAAAAAGGCCCAGAAGCGGCAACACGAAGTGGCATCTCCAGCTTCTCCTCCCGCGTGAACCCGGATGCCTCCCAGAGACCCTCGAGGCGCCCCCAAGAGGTCCCCAAGAGGCCTCCGAGAGCCCCCCAAGAGGCCCCCGGAAAGGCTCCCAAGAAGCGCCAAAAAGCCAACCAAATGCCTCCCAAAGCCATCTAAGAGACCCCTGGGAGTTGAACCCTCGCGAGCGTGAACAGAAACACCCTGCCACTCCAGCTCCAACATAGCCTACCTAACGCCCTGGACATCTCTACTCCGCTGGGGGTCGGCGGAATGGAATAAGCCACTTGGATAACCGCATTGAGACCTTCTCTGCCCACCCTGGCCCCGCCATCTGTACAACATCCAAGGCTGTCCGACACAATATGATGCCAGCCGTGTCCATCCGAAACTCTGCAAGTTCAACTAAAGCTATCTGAACGCCGAATCATTCAACAAGTGTCTAGACACAAAGGTGGACCCCCACATGCTCCACGTAAAGTCAACCAATGGAGTAATGATGCAAGACCCTTGGACCTAAGATACCCTTAAGAAATGGCGGGCAAAGCTGACTAAGGATAAACCGGACAGGCCAGGATGACGAATCAGCCACATCATCAGTCTGGCCACCAGTGGCCCAGGGAGGCATTCAAACATCAAAGTGCCTTAAAAAACTTCGAACCTCGGGCGAACAAAAGAGGAGGGATACCAAAGGGGGGAACAACTGCATGCAGGTGGTTCACAGCGCCTCCTGGTGTCAGGGGCCGAAGGTGCTCATAAGGGGTCACAAGGGTCACAGGGGTCCATGAGGGTCGCCAGGAGGCGGCCATGCATAGACGAGCGCGCCTGTCGGAAGAGCCGAAACCAGCTGCATGTAGCAGCTTTCGTAGCCCCCCACTGCTACCAGCCCCACCTTTCGTCTGGTCAGATCCACCTCACCCCCCCCCCGCCTTCTGGCTGACTGCAGGCCATCCGTTCCCCAACGATACTCCGCTCGCAACTGCCGCGGAATGCGTGCGCAACGATCTCCACTTCGTGCTCCTCGTCCACCTTTTCCTCCTCCCCCTGTTCCTCCTCCTGTCGTTTTCCCACTTATGCTACTCCACCTCTCCCTCCTCCTGAAGCTGGCCCTTCTATTTCCCTCCCTGTGCTGGCTGCCTTCGAGTAGATCTGCATGGGGTAGGCAGACTCAAAGGGCGGATGGCCAGACATCATCTCGAAAATCAATATTCCCAGGGTCCACCAGTCCTGGGAGCGCCGGCCGCCGACACCGCCCTCGATTTGCTACTCTATTGATCCACCTTTTCCTTCTCCTCCTATTCCTCCGGCTCTCCCTTTTCTTCCTCAACCTCCCCCTCCCCCTCCTGTTTCTCCTCCTCCTCGTCATCATCATCCGCATTATCATCAGCATCATGATCATTATCCTCGTGCTTTTCTTCCCCATCATGACACAAACAACATCACCATCATCACCATCATCATCATCATCATCATCATCATCATCATCATCATCATCATCATCGTCATCATCATCATCATCATCATCATCATCATCATCATCATCATCATCATCATCATCATCATCATCATCATCATCATCATCATCATCATCTTCATTGTCATCATCATCATCATCATCATCATCATCATCATCATCATCATCATCATCGTCATCGTCATCGTCATCATCATGACCATCATCAGTCCCATGCTCAGTCTCTTCCTCGTCCTCCCCAGCACCCTCCCCATCATAATCATCAGCATCATCATCTCAATCACCATCATCACCAAAATCATATTCATCGTCTTCATAAACATTACCATGACCCCCACCACCGCCACCACCACCGTCATCATCACCTGTGTCATCAAAATCGTCATAGTCGTCGCCGAAGCCGCCATCAACAACAACAACAACAACATCATCATCATCATCATCATCATCATCATCATCATCATCATCATCATCATTATCATCATTCGCAGCATCACCAACAGCAGTGCCAACTCCATCGCCCCCATCATCAACAACAGCAGCATCGTCCGCATTACCACCACCACTGAACACGTTTCGACCAGCGGCCATGGCCAAGAGAATCATCAGCATCACCATCACGACCATCATCCTCATCATCACCATACTCATCATTAGCACGATCATCATCGGCATCAACAAAATCATCCTCATCAGCATGCCAACCACCATCCTCAACATCATTATCAGGAAAAGCGTGGCACACGTCGTGTTCGTTCCTCCTCGGGCCCTTAATGCCTGGGACAGGTCGCTCCTGTCTCACTCGCAGGTGCTGCGGCACGCGGCGGGGTGCAGCAACCCTCGTCGCAGTGCACTGCGAGGTCCAAGCTGGTGCTGCACGCCAGCGTGGTCGGCCCGCCTGCCGGTGTCCACGTAGACTGTGTTTGTCGTTCGACAGGCGCGCGCCCATTCATCATCACCATCATCACCATCGCCACCTTCATCATCACCACCACCACCATCATCACTAGCATCAGCATCATCTTCATCTTCAACATCACCATCACCATCATCATCATCACCACCATCATCCTGCACATGATCCAGTTCTATGGCAACAGCGGTGCAGGGGCCACCGACCTCCTATTCCTCGTGCGCTCCAAGCGGCATCGGCGCCAGACAGTCTATGGGCTCGACCTGCGTATGTCGTGTCACTCCATTGTCTCCCCCGTGCATCGAGATCAACCTGGGTGCTGCCAATTGGGTTGAGGAATCACCTTTGCGGCGTCACAGCGCCGCATACTTAAAATGTGCACAGCGTCAGGCTCCAACTCGTTCCGTCGAGGGCGCGGCTGTGGAAGTAGGAATATAAATTCATATAATAATGGTGTGGAAGATCGACAATGGATTCATTTTATGGTGTGGGTTATTTGTGGTTTCACGGTATTAGCGTTTGTTGGTGCTTCTTGGTCACCCCCGCTGGAGGCACAAACGTTGTGGTCATCGCGCGCGTGGAGACAGACCTATGGTCTTCTCGCTCCCGGGCGGCGCCACCACGGTCTTTACGATTGTGGGCGGCAGCTTCGTAATTGTCATGCTCGTGGGCTGCAGCTTCGTTGTGTTCATGATCGTGGGCGGCAGCTCCGTTGTGATCATGTTGGTCCAAGTCTGGGCAACTCCTGTACCACTCACGCTCGTGAACATCAGCTTCATGGTGTCTCGTTCAAGCACGATGGCCAAAGCTTCGTGGTCATTACGCCCAGGGGCGACAGCTCCGCGGTGTCCACGGTTATGGACAGCAGTTTCGTGGCGTTCACACTCGTAGGCGCAATTTCGTGGCGTTCACGCTCGTGGGCGGCAGCTTCGTGTTTCGTGGTGTCAAGCTCGTGGGCGGCAGCCTCGAGGTGATCACTCTGGGCGGCAGCCTCGTGGTGATCACTCTCGTGGGCGGCGGCTTCATGGTGTCCCGCGCTCGTGGCGACAGGTTCGTGGTGTTCACGCTTGTGGGCAGCAGCTCCGTCGCGTTCACACTGGTCGGCGGCACTTTCATGGTTTTCAAACTCGTGGGCGGCAGCATCGTGGTTTTCAAGCTCATGGGCAGCAGTTTCGTCATGGTCACCCTCGTGGGCGGCAGCTCTGTATCGCAAGCGTTCGTGAGCGATGGCTTCGTGGTGTTCACGCTCGTGGGTATTAACTTCGTGGTTTCCACGCCGGTGAGCGGCAGCTGCGTTGTGTTCCCGCTCGCGACCGGCAGCTTCGGGGTGTTCGGGCTCGCGGGCAGCAGCTTCGGAGTGTTCACGCTCGTTGACTGTTCCTTCGCGGCGCTCGCGCTCGTCAGCGACAGCTTCGTGGCGTTCACGCTCGTGGGCAGCAGTTTCGTGGTATTCACGCTCGTTGGCGGCAGCTTCGTTGCGTTCGCGCTCGTGGGCGGAAGCTTCGCGGCCTTCACGCTTGCGGGCTGCAGCTTCGTAGCGTTCACGGTTGTTCCCGCGCTTGTAGGCCGAAGCTCCGTGGCGTCCACGCTCTCAGGCGGTAACTCCGTGGCGTTCACGCTCGTCGGCGGCAGTTTCGTGGTGATCAAGCTTGTGGGTGCGAGCTTCGTGGTTCTCACGCGTGTGGTCCATCCTTTTTACTGGGAAATGACGTTCTCTGTGTACCATTATCAGGATACGTGTCACCGACATGTCGTGATCGTTCCTCCTCGGGCCCTTAATGCCTGGGACAGGTCGCTCAAGTCTCAATCGGAGGTATTGCGGCACGCGGCGGGGTGCAGCAACACTCGTCGCACTGCACTTCGAGGTCCAAGCTGGCGCTGCACGCCAGCGCGGTCGTTTCCCCACCTGTGCCCACGCAGATGTTGATTGTCTTTCGACAGCTTGCGACGAGAAATCATCAGGACGGCGAGCATGAAACAGCGGGACGGGGCGAACGGGGGCACTTTGACGCCAGGGCATATATTTTGATAATGGCTCGAAAAAAAGGGTCGGCAGCCTCAAAGGCAGTCCCTGTGGGGCGACGGCAGGCCTGACTGTTCGTCCCGCTGCCGTCTGCGCATCCCCAATTGTCGACATGCGTGGGGGTCACCGAGGCGCAATCAGCTCAACGCGTCAACTCTTGAAGACGGCGCCCTCGATTTGGACGCCGCCTTGGCGCCCGAACTCGAGGCGGAGCTTCCGGCGAAACCGTCTCGGCTTCGTTTCATGACAGGTATTAAATTGGCACCCATCATCATGATGCTGCAGTCGTGACACTCATTGTGGCGCGTTCCCAGCGCGTTTCGCGACAGTCATAAGCATGAGTATGATCGTATGACGCTAGACGACTGGATGCACATGAGGATGGTCAGCGGTCTACATCGCTCTGCCACACTGGGCCGCAAACGTCGCCAGCGTCCGTTGATACGTCGTTACCTTGGCCAGGCCAAGCGGGTCGCGCACGCGTGCGCGCAGAAACCTCCTCCCCCTTTTCCTCTTCCTCCTCCTCTTCCTCCTCCTCCTCCTCCACATGAGTTTGCTACTGATGAGATCATAGTGCATCCCGAGCGCCTTGCGGCCAGTCATCACTTGTAACTCTTGACCCTTTGGGCCATATGCAGTCAGCCTCCTCCTCCTCCTCCTTCGCGTCCTCCTCCTCCTCTTCTTCGCTCATCCCTCCGTCCCCCTTACCATCTCGCCGGACGCAGGCAGAGCCCGCGCGAGGGGGTAGGTGGTCCAGGGCGTTGGTGTGACCGCTGGAGGCGATGAGTTCAGGGGCGAAGTAATCCGGCGTACCTGGCCCCGGCGGAGCGAGGGGGGCGTGCGAGGTCGTTTTTGCAGACACGCGCACGCTTTTCCAAACCACGCCCTTGCGTCCGCCCAGGCTGAGGGCGCAAAACGACGCACCACTGATCCTGGCCGAGCCCGTGCTGGACCCAGAGTGAGCGCACGCGCTCGACCTGGGCCCGGGAGAGGTGCAGCTGTGCAGCTGGCACCTCCTTGCCGTCGCTCGGACGTCCACTTCCCGTGCATCCTTCGGCCTCGTGCGTGCTTTTTGTTGCTCGAGGATGCTCCGCGATGGTCCTCGCCGAGAAAAAAAGCACACGTCCGAGCGACGCCAGGCCTACTGGCGAGGTGACCGCGGGCAGCAGAGGCGACGAACCAACAACACACACCCATATCCATAGGGGGGTCGGAGAGGGCTGTGGGTGCGTGTGTTCGGATGGGGGTTCCCGCTCGAACGGGAGTGTTCCCCAGGGTCCGACAACCTGCACCCGTACCCATAGCGAGTCCTCCTCCCAACGACCCCCCTATGGGTATGGGTGTGCGTTGTTCGTTCGTCAAGAGGAGGGAGGAGGCACCGAGGGCGAAGCGCGAGGGAGAGGGGGGAGGGGCGAAGTGCGAGAGAGGGGCGGGGAGAACTCAAGGGGCCCTGGGACACCACGTTTTCTGGGTTTTCGTCTTCCCCCCCACTTCCCATATTTTCCAATATTTTCCTGGGAGTCGACGATTAATTGTGTCTGTGTGTGTCTTCCCTCCTGAAAGACGCCAGACAGGAGGGCGGCAGCGCACGGGCGAGAGGGCCGCGAGGCCCAGGGCGCACAGAGACGCAGAGGCTGCGGAGAAGGGCGGAGGCCACGGAGCCAAAACGGCGGCGCGAACGGCAGCGCCTTGGGAGCCAGGGCGGGAGGAGGCGAGGCGAGGCGAGGCGAGGCGAGGCGAGGCGCCGGCACGCGGCCCAAAGGGGGGCCGAGACCCGAGTGCGGCGAGGCGTGCGGGCCGCGATCCCCCGGTCGGCAGAGCGAAGAGGTCGGCGGCAGGCGTTGCAGCCGCTGGTCACAGGCTGCGTCGGGCCAAGGAGTGTGGGCGGCACTGGAAGACAGGCTCTGGCTCTGCAGTGGAAAAATGGATAGGGTGAAGGCACACACACCCCAGACAGACAGACAGACGCCATGCACAACATAGGTGCGTTGGCAGAAATTGTGAGACATACTAGACAATTGGGTGAAAACGGCAACCGTGCTAAGCATAGGAGGAGGAGGAGGAGGAGGAGGAGGAGGCACATACCCTGCTTCCGAAAAGAGGGAGGGAAGAGCTTTGGACGACAGACTTTTTCGCTGGGCTCTGCAGCCTCGGAGGGCAGGGAGGACAAGATGGGCAAGGAGGGGCAGGGCGAGGGAGGGAGGGGCGCAGGAATGGGAAGGAGGAGGGGTGGGGAAGACGGGAAGGGGGGGAGCACAGAGAGGATGCGGCCGCGAGCACCCTCCCACAGCGCAAAGGGGCACCGCAGGTCGTGTACGTCTTGCCGATGGCAAACTTCGCAAGGCCTCCGCTGCTGCACCGTGGCACATCCGTCCTACCGGATCCGTCATTCCTCCCCCTCCACCGTCCCTCCTACCTGCTGCCAGCTGTGCGCACGCACCGGTTCTCCCTCCCACGCCTCCTCACTCAACGCACCTCCGCCGTCCTTCTCCTCGTCCTCCTCATCCTCCGTACCCCTTCGACGCTCATGCTCCTCCTCATCAGTCCCTCCCTCTATCCTTTTCCGCTGCCTGTCTACCCCTCTCCCTTCTCCTGATGAATTGTAGCACTCCTGGAGGCAGACCTGCGTTGTCAATGTCGACAAGCAGGCTTCCACGTGACAGGTGTCAGAGCGGCGGTGAAGAGAGGCAACAGCAGGAACTGCCAAAAACCTAAGAATCTACACGAGGCCAGAATCACGTGTTAACAGGCCCGACGGATCAGCTTCACAGTCAAATATGAAACTGAGTGCGGATACGCTTGCACGACGCCCTCACATGCACATGGCGGATCTCTTGTTCCATCGGAGAGCGACTGGTGAATAAGAACATCATGCTTGTGAGATGGCTGGCCCGTGGAATGATATCGGCGGATACTGATTTGCGCAACCCGCCCCCAGTGAGGCTGTCTACCTGACTCCTGACGCGATCTTTAGTCCAACTCAAACCCTCCCTCCAACCCGACCTCCTCCTCCTCCTCCTCCTCCTGATACGGTATTGTATACTCCTCGAGGGCGCTCACCCTCGGGAGGTCCGTTCGCCATGTGTTTCGGTCCGACAGGGCAGCAGCTCAAAGCGGTGATACTAACACAGTTTGAGACCGTAGACAGCGGCTCCGTGCATGATTGCAGAAACCCCCCGCGCAGCAAAGGTATGCGCAACGTGGCAGCGGCACTCAGGTAAGTGCAAGCGGCCATGCGGCAATACGCCGGACCTTGGTTGCTCCTCTCCGTGTCCCTCGCGCCCGCTCTGCTTCGCTGTGCGTGTGCGTGTGCGTTTGCGCGCGTGCGCGAATGCCCGTTCTCCTCCCAGTTTTGTCCCTGGCCCGCCTCCCGCCTCCCCATCCATGGATGGAGAGGCGGGAGGGGGGTCATGGATATCCATGTCGTCCATGTCATGTCATGGATGTCCATGTCATGACATGGATATCCACGTCATGACACGGATATCCGTGCCATCCACCCAGGCGGACTGCTCGCTCAACTGGGCCTGGGCGCCCGGCGGCGGCGCCAGCAGAGCCCGAGGGGGCAGACCCCGCCCGCGGGGGGGGCCGCGCCGCGCCGCCCGGCGTGAGGCGGCGCGCCAGCACGCGGCCGCGCAGCCAAAGAGGCAGGCCAGCACCAGCCTCGGTGACCACCGGCTCCGGTGCCTCCTTTCGAGCCTTTCGAGCGCGGCCCAATGTTACCAGCCTCAAACGTATCCGTATCCCTAAGATTGACACGCCAAAAGGCGATGACAATCTTAGGGATTCGCCCTCAAAAAACAAGGGAATCCCTAAGATTGGCATCGTGATGAGGAGGTGCCCAGCATAGGGATATGGATATGTTCCAGGCTGGTAAGGTGCCTCCTTGCGAGCCTCTCGAGCGCGGCCCAGTGGTCTCCGCGAGGCCGTGGCCGAGGCGGACATTGCCGCGCCGCGCGGCGCGCGGCGGGCCCGCCGCGGCCGCACGCATTATTTCCCCCAGGAGGGCCTCCAGGGGCCGAGGCGAAACTGGTGCCTCCATGCCTTCCCCCGGGGAGGGTGCGCACACGCGGCCGCGCCGGCACCCCACCGGCCACGATGGCACCGAACGCCCCCGTCAGGCCGCACCACGCACGCCACCCTCTCTCACCTCCGGCCCGCCCGCCCGCCACTCGGAGGAGGGCCAGTTCAGACAGCGGCAGCCCTCCCAAACGAGTGGGACGAGGGCTAGGATCGGTCGATCGCCCCTTCCGGCCGACCTTGGGGCTGCTTCGCGTCGACGAGAGCAGCATGGCACTGCAGACTTAATATTGGCCTGGCTGTGCTCAATGTGGGAGGCAGCACACACCGCTCGGCGCCCTGGCCCTGCCTGCACCGACCGTCGTCACACGGGTTTTTGTTTCGCCCCTGCGCAGGGCAGCTCCCACCCCTCGAGGATTGGGAGGGAGGAAGACCGGACCACCGACGTCTCAGCTGGCCCTCCCCTGAGCCACCCAACCCTCCGCCCACCCACCCCCGGGCCCATGTCTGTGAGCTTGAGGCGCCCGAGCTCGTTCAGCAGCAGGTTCTCCTCGGAGGAGGCACCGCGGAGAGCCGACGAGAGAGCAGGCCGCGCGCCCGCGGGTCTGGGACGGGGGCGGCCGCGCTGCGAGGCACGCGACGAGCGCACGCGCGCAGTCCGGCCTCGGCAGCGCAGCCGCAGCGCGGCAGCGGCGCGCCCAGGAGCGGAGGCAGAGGGGGCGGGCCCTTCTCAGAAGCCTCAGGAGGCAGCTGGCCTTCCGAGACGCTTCCTGGGCCCTCTCCGCAGCAGCGGAGGGCCTCTCGGCAGGCCGCCCGAGAGCGCCTGCCCCCTCTCGCCTCCCCGCTCGGCGTGCCGCCGATTCGAGGAGGTGGTCTCCGGCTTCAGGTCTCGGTACACGATGCGCCGCTCGTGGAGGTGCTCGAAGGCGAGCACGACGCCAGCCGCGTAGAACTTGGCATGTCTGGCCGGGAAGCAGGGGGGGGCGCGGGGCGAGGGGGAGAAGTCAGAGAGCGAGGAGAGGGCGCGAAGGGAGTCACAGAAACAGGAGAGTGATCGGAGGAGCGGGCAGGATAGCAGGGAGGTGAGCAGAGCGGGGTGGCGCGAGCGAGGATAGATGAGGAAAGGAGGGAAGAGCAGGGCAGGGGAGTGAAGGGTGAACCTCGGCAGGGAGGAGAGTGAAGGGAAGAGAAAAGGGAGGGAGGGGTGTGGCCTCCGCAGGCTATACGCTATCCCATGCATGATCGCGTCACCCCATCCTGCCAGTTCTGTCTGTTCGCGCTTTTTACTGCTCCACCTCCTCATCCTCCTAGACATGCTCACACGGCAGCAGAAGGCGACGCACCATGCAATTGTCAGCCGTGGCAACTGCACGCTGTCTCGACGCAACCAACCGCACGCGCTTGTTTCGCCAACTACTCGATGCAAGCTTCCGGCTATGATGTCGCAGGCAACCACACGCCCTCACACGGACACATGTGCACCCTCCGCCCCACGGCACCGTGCATGGCAGCACGCGGCGCCCCGCCGTACGGCGTCCAACGGCCGAGCTCTCCTGGCAGCTTGCGCAGCACTGCGAGGCACGGCATTGGCCCGATCATAGGGAGCTCCACCGAAGGCCCCAGTGGGGGTGGGCGCATGCGGTTCCCCCACCCAGGGCAGCGTTTCGTGGCCCCATAGGGAGCTCCACCGAAGGCC